GGGAAATGCAAATCAAAACCACAATGAAACACCACCTCACACCTGTTAGAATGGGTATGATTAACAAGACAAGTAATAACAAGTGTTAGAGAGCTTGTGGAGAAAAAGGAACCCTCATACACTGATGGTGGGAATGTAAATTGGTACAGCCACGGAAAACCATATGGAAGTTCCTCAAAAAATTAAGACTAGAATTACCATATGACTCAGTAATTCCTCTTCTGGTTATCTACCCCCAAAATCTAAAAACATTAATCCATAAAAATATATGTACTCCTTTGTTTACTGCACCATTATTCACAGATGTGGAAACAACCAAAGTGTCCTTCAATAGGTAATTGGATAAAGAAGATGTGGTACATAGATACAATGGACTACTACTCAGCCATAAGAAAAGATGAAATACCGCTTTTGTGACAACATGGATAGATCTTGAGATTATCATACTAAGTGAAGTAAATTAAACAGAATGAGTTGAAAACCATGATTTCACTCATATGTGGGATATAAAACTGAAAGCAACAAACAAGCAAGACAAACAAACACTCATAGACACAGACAATAGTGTTTACCAGAGGGTAAGGGGAAAAGGGGTGGTAGAAGATGGTAAAGGGGGTCAAGTATATGATGGAAGAACTGACTCTGGGTGAAAATACAATGCAATACATAGATGATGTATTATAAAATTTACACGTGAAACCTATATAACTTTACTAACCAATGTCATCCCAATAAATTGAATTAAAAAAGTAGTTCAACATCTGGAACACTGGAATTGAGAGTTCTGCTGGAAGAAAGCTGGAAAGGTAGGAACTAGCAAGATCATTAAAGATTGTTTTTCTTCTAAGTAAAAAGGGTTTTAACTTTATCCTCTAGCAATGAGGCCACAACCAAAAAGCAGATTTGCATTTCAGAAGTATATGCAAGATAGATTCAAGGAAGAAATAGTAAAAACTAAACTAAACATTGTCATTGGAGATTCAGAGAATGTTGAGAGCAGAGATAAAAAACAGACAAGATCTGATGACGTTATACATAAATGTATGTGCTATACTTTATATGAATGGCAGTGCCGTAGGTTTGTTTATACCAGCATCAAACAAACACGTGAGTTACGCCTTGCAGTATGACAACACCACAGCTACGACGTCACCAAGTATAGGCACTTTTCAGCTACATTAAAATCTTATGGAACCAATATCATATATATGATGTCTTTCGTTGACTGAAATAATATTATGCTGTGCATGATTGTATTTGTAAGTTTTCCAATTTTACTCCTGTTAGATCTATTTCCAGTTTCATGGCATTGTATAAGAAAGGTACTTGATATGATTTCTATCGTGGCTTTATTGAGACATGTTTTGTGACCTAACATACGATCTATCTGGGAAAATGATCTATGTGTGTTGGAGAGGAATGTGTATTCTATATATGTCAACCAGGTCCATTTTATCTATAATGTTGTTCAAATCTGCTGGCTTATTAATTTTCTGTCAGATAACTTTTCCACAGTTATGAGTCAGGTATTAAAGTCCTCAGTTATTATTTATTATTGTTGTTTTCTTCTTTTACTTTTGTTAATATTTACTTTATATGTTACTCCAATGTTAGGTGAACAAATATTTACAATCATTATATCTTTCTTGATGAATCAATCCCTTTATCATTATATAATAATCCTCTCTTGCTTCCTTTTTGATTTGAAGACTTCTTGTGGTGGTATGCTTTGATCCCTTTATCTTAATCTTATGTGTATCTACTACAGGTTTTTGCTTTATGGTCACATGAAGTTTACATAAAATATCTTACAGTTATGGTATCCTATTAAAGCTGATAACAAATAACTTTGATAGCATACAGAAACTCTATACTTCTCTCCCCATCCACATTTTCAGTTACTGATATTATAATTTATATTTCTTTTTAATATTGTGTATCCAATAACAAGTGATTGTAGTTAATAATAGTCAAAATGATAAGCAGAATAGTCAAATAATAGGCAAAACATTTTTATCTGGGAACCTTTCTAGAATCTTCTTCTAAGCTTGCTCTGTGTGATTACATGAATGAACATGTATTTGCATAATGGCTTCCTTTCTCTTGCTGTTGTCCTGTCCATCACCCTCGCATCCCCCCAAAATGACTTTATTAGGTCTTGTTAACTTCTGTAATTCAAAGACTCACTCCTGCTGGCAGACAAATATATTAACTTTAAGAAACATTTTCTTCAAAATATAATACAATGGTACCAAAAAGACATCAGGTGAATTTCAAGAGATTGAGCCATTTCTCAAGAGTTCATGAAATCTCTACTGTCTTTGTACATAAGTATCACTACCATGAACTAAGTGCTTATCATGATATTGTAATGTCCTATATGCTTTATATACATTATTTCATCTCTGAATGTAAAAAGTGCAATTTCTATTGAGCTCCAATACTTTCTCTAGGCCGTACAATTAACAGAATGACAAAGAATTTAAATCCAGGTCTTTCTGGTAACAGAGCCTGTGTTCTTAACCATTGTACTCTATTATTACATAATTTGGACTAGTAGATTGATTATCAGAAACAAAATACAAAGTAACTCCTGGTTTAAAGAAAGAAAAATAAGAGAAAGTTGGTGATTAACCTCTTTTAGTTTTCTTCTAAGATGAGATGCTGCTGTTGCAATCCTTGAATACTGCTTTGTGCCTGTAGTGACCACCGCTTCTAAGGAAAACCTAGGAAGAAGTAAAAAGAAAGCTTTTCTTCTATCAGTATCTCACTATTCAGAGAAGGGGCTCACACTATGTTATCCCTTTGGCTCCAATCACTTTTTTCCCCCATCACCCCTTGTTTTACTGTAACCTGCTGCTATTTCTTCCTGTTAACCTTGACTTCAGTATGGCACTTTAATTAATGGGGTTACAAAGTCCTAAATATAATTGAATTTTCTTTTGGATCATGTAAGGAGAAAAAGAGGTGTTCTTGGTCACATTACATGCAGTGACTCAGGAACCCAGGCTCTTTTCACACTGTGACTCAGCCATCTTTAGCATGTGTTTTCCTAGGTGGCAAAGGAAAGGAATGATCATGGAGGGTAGTGCATGGTACATACTTTGAGGGGCTGCCAATCACTTTTACCCAGGTTTCATTGGTCAGAATTCAGTCCTGTGCCTCAATTAACTGTGCAAGGGAGGCTAAGTGTCCTAGGAATACAGACTAATTGTGGCCTAGAAAAATAGAAAATAGGTTTGGTGAAAAGCGAGCCAGTCTCTGTCAGAATCCTGTAGATAAATTTATAGGTCTTCATATTTAATAAGATGTGGTGGGGTAAGAGAAAAGAGTCAAGGATATCTTTTATACATTTAATATAAAAAAAATTAGATGGTTATAAATCTATGGGAAATTGGGAACACTGAAGGAGAAGCAAGACTGGGGCTGGGGGGGATAGTTAAAATAGTGAATTCCATTTTAATGTATGATTTAAAAAATATTTTAGGCCTTCAAAGTAGAGGTATCTAGCATGCACTTGGAAATATAGGGAACATTAAAACTAGAGATAGAAGCTAGAAATACAGATTTTTGATTCTTCAAAATATAATCATAAGTGGCAGAAAAGGTTATAAGATGACCTGAGATAGCACATAAATATGAAAAGAGAGCTATAAACATGAAAAAAAAACATTGTGTGTAATATAAAATCTGGCTTAGTGCAAAGTAATAGAAACACAGAGGCAAGTAAAACAGGCTTTGCCTACAAGAAGCTCAGTTAAGTGGAAATAATCGAGGAAATTATTGATCACTTGTGTGTTAAGGCTATAAAAGATCCATGTTATGGCATGGGAGCATAGATTGAGGGAAACAAACATGAAATGAATGTATTGATTAAATGAATGAATTATATTCAAATATATCACACAAAAAATTTTACTCTTCCTTGATGGTTCCCTCAAATCTTACATAGGTAGTTGGCAAATACTCCAGTAACTACACAGAGAAAACGTCAGCGTTTTAAGAACTTGCTCTGTGAAGGCATTGTGTTGCTTTATGTTTTCTCATTTAAGAATCATAACGATACTATATGACATGGATTATATTTTCATTAAATCAGAAAAATATATGTATTAGCTCCAGATATAGAACAGAAAACTGGGGTAAGAGAAAGATTATATAACTTGTTATGGGAACCTACATCAATCACACTTTTTACTACCTCACAGTTTTCTCGTGTTGTTCTTTTTGAAAAATAATCAGAAATACCAATACACCTGGCTTATTAGTTATGTTCAAATTAACAGGAAAATGGGAGCTGGTGCCATAGATTTAAATAGACAACTATTATTGTACAAAAAATTGAAAAATACTACCAATATTTTTTAGCAATCCAGCATAGAAGCACAACTGATTAACAGGTGCTGTACAATAGTTAATTTTTTGGAAATTTACCACAGACTAATAAAATTAGACAATTTTAAAACTTGCATATATAACTGATGACTAGTAAAGAGAACTTCTGAATGACATTCCCTATATTTTATTATATAATAGTGAAACATTTATCTTTCTAGATAAATAAAAATTATTGAAAATTAACTCAATTTTGAATAGGATTTCTATATATTTTAAATTGTTCTGTTTTTCAAAATTTATACCATCAATATGTATTAAATAGACTTAAAATTACCATATACCATTTCTGTATACTTCATGATCACAATTACATAATCATATATGTCCTCTCTCTGTCTCTTCCTCTCCTTTTTACCCTCACATATATGCAAAAGGAAAATGCATCGAAAGTAAATATTGGGTCATCAGAAAAGTCATGACTCATTTTTGCAACAAAAAACAGAAAAATACGTCATGACTTCAGGACTTTACCGACGATGCAATTTATAGTCTTGCGATAGCCAAAAAAGTTAATAGGAATATTTAACTTATCTTTTATATTTTAAATTTTCTGATTTTTTAAATAAGAGCATGAATCACTGATATCATGGTGAAAGCTTTATTTTGGAAAAAATAAATTTAGAAATCATTTTAACAAAATAAACAGGAAATACAATTAATCATATGAAAGCAGATAATGAAATTAATCTAAGTACACTGTGTCTTAACAAAAGTCAGCAGCTAGGGCAAAAATTGCTATTCTAAGATTGCCAGGGAAACTGAAAATATCTTACGAATTGCTGCACTCGGATATGAAACAATATAAGCAATGCCTTTTGCAATATTTCCAGAAATAAATGAAATTGATTTTAATTGTTCCTTGGACATCTGGATATATAAGGAATCTTTAGGGGGTGCCAAGTCAAGTTGATTTAAGCTAAGTTATGATCAATAAGAGAAACATTTTCATTACTCTGTATTTTTAAGAAAATGTATATACAAATCCAACTTATGACATAGAGTATTTCTTCTTTCATAGTATTATTTCAAAGTCCTTTAACTAAAAATAAGGGCCATAATTCAAGATGACCACAGGATGTGATTTGGCATTGGTTCATTCTGTTATTCCACTGGGAAATTTAAGGCCTGAATTCGCTTTCACAATTGCAGCTTTTGTTTTCGCATCTAGTAATCTTTCACAAGCTTTTTGAAAGGCAATCATATCAATCACAAATTTTTCATCACAGTGTCTTTTATACGTTTCTTGAGCCCTGGGAGGAAAAAGGAAAGGTAATAGATTGAGATACTTTTAAATTACTAAAACCATTACAAGCAATCAGATTGCTAATGATAACTAGATGTCTTCAAAATAGACATATACAAATGAGAAAAATACAGAATTTCACTACCTGTACAGAACTTCACTATAACATTCACTAATATTCATATTAGGCTACTAAGATTTCTGCTGGCTGTAACAGAATCCTCACAATCCATGGCTGAGGTTCCCAAAGAGGCATCTAAGCGAGACTATGCCATGATTTGCAGAACTTTTACTTAAGCCTCACTAAATCCAAGCTTCTTGTAGGAATTTGTTATGGACTGAACTGTGTGCCTCCCAAATTCATATGTTCACATCCTAACTCCCAGTGCCTTAGAAGGTGACTGTATTTGAAGATCGATCCTTTAAGAGGTAATTAAATTTAAATGAGATCATATGGGTGGGCCTTAACCTAATATGAGTGGTGTCCTTATAAGAAGATGAAGAGACACCATGGATGTGCACACGCAGAACAAAGGCCATGTGAGGACACAGTGGGAAGGCTGGCACCGACACGTGAAGGAGAGGCCTCAGGGGAAGCCACAGCTGGCAACATCTTGATCTTGGATTTCTAGGCTTTCAAACTGTGAGGAAATATAATAAATTTCTGTTGTTTAAACCACCCAGTCTGTGGTATTTTGTTATGGCAGCCCTAGCAGCCCTAGGCAGAATCTAAGCTAGAGAAAGGTGATCCAGGTTACCCTGTGAAACCTGGAAAACATCATGGGTCTTAGAAAAGTTCATTTATTCATCCTCATTCATTAACAGTTGATTACTATTATGTTTGGCACATGATGTCACATGTTCTTAAGAATTGGAAGGTAACCATGATTACACAAGAAGTTGGATGGAGAAGAGCTTTATAAATCAGGATATAAAGACCACAGTGAACAACGAGGACAGTCTAGGAGGTCAACTGATGACCAAAATAAAGAGGAGTAGAAGATGATGTAATTGGGCATTTCCTGATTTGCCGGATTTTCCATGTTAATTAATACTTGACTTCAAAATAGATGCCCTGTTCTTCCCTGAGCAGTCATATCACTTTTTCAGAGTATACACAAGAATATTTGGGAAGATTTATGACCAACTTTTACCAGATACATAAGCTCTTTCATTTCAAAATCTCTTTTTTTGTTGTTTTAATTAAAGTTTATTGGGGTGACAATGGTTAGTAAAGTTACATCGGTTTCAAGTGTACAATTCTGTAATACATCATCTATATATCACGCTGTGTGTTCACCACCCAGAGTCAGTTCTCCTTCCATCACCATATATTTGATCCCCTTTACCCTCATCTACCACCCCCTTCCCTTACCCTCTGGTAACCACTAAACTGTTGTCAGTGTCTGAGTTTTTGTTTCTTTGTTTGTTTGTCTTATGCCTTTGTTGCTTTCAGTTTTATATCCCACATATCAGTGATATCATATGGTTCTCAACTTTTCTGTCTGACTTATTTCATTTAGCATAATCATCTCAAGATCCACACATATTGTCGCAAATGGCACAATTTCATCTTTTCCTATGGCAGAGTAGTGTCCCATTGTGTATACATACATCTGCTTTATCTTAATTCACTCTTAAACACCTCTGAGGGTATTTTATCAATTTCCTAATCCAGAGCTTTATAACCCCACTTCTTTCTTTCATTCTTACTCATTCCACAGCAGGATCAGGGAGCTACTTTCTCGGTAATGACTTCGCTAGTAATGGAGATTCATCAGAATGCTTTTAGGTCAAGTATCTGAAGCAGTAGAAAAAGAATTGAAAACCTCTTTAGTCTCTAGACAGACTTTTTACTTTTTTGAGTCACAGCTCTCTTTTGTGTGTTGATACTCTTTACTTGAAAATATTTATAAATAAAACTCAATAATGCCCATTAGGACACCACTGACAACCAGAAAACTGCTATATTCCTGTGTGCTTTCAAAGAGAGTATCTTTGCAGCAGTTTACAAAGGAAGATAATTTAGTTAAGGAAGTTCACTTGACTCTGTATCCTCTACAAATTAATGATGGCCAGACATTCAATTTGCTATGATAAAACTAAGCTGATTAAATTTCTCTGACATTGATTTGCATTAGATTTGTGTTTTGATATACCAGACTAGCTTTCATTCTCTTTCACAAAATATTTTCTATTAAAGTAAGTCATAGAAAAACTATTTCTAAAAATCTCTCTCTCACATACACAGGGTATATTTTAATAAAAATGTTTTTAAATTTTGAAGGAGAAAAACAAAATATGTTCATACTTTAAAAAGATGTTATGTAAAGTACCTCAGTAAATTGTATAAAAATGTCTTATAACTAAAACCAGAAAAATGCATTCTTATTTTATATTCCTTTCTACTACAAACTATTTTCTATAAATGATACCATTTAAAAATGTAAATGAAATAAGCAGCTATAATGATCTCTCAGTAATGTTAGACAAGCCTTAAATGTATGTATGCATTTGCCACCTAAAATATCACCAGGATAAAACTGTGCCTCTTAAGCTTGAATGTAATATCAGAAAAAAATAATGTGAATTACTTCAAAAGGGTAATAAAACAAAATTACTGGGAGTCTTGTCTAGTGTGCCCTTCAGAGTTATCTGTGTATTTCAATCTCTTTGAGCTATTTTACAACCCTATAAGTTGAGGAAAACTATGAGTAATGCAAATGATACTTGTCTATAGAAATGTAAATAAATTTTCTCCAATGTAGTTAAAATTGATTATTGCAGATGGACAATGACTAAATGTATTTTGACAATCCTGATTGCTTATTATACCCATGCTCTTAGAATCTCATTTGAACTGGCTGTAATGTCTTACTAGTTCCTTCATTAATTAATAAGTGAAATAAAATCTTTGCCATGCTCATTTTATATTTATATGAGTAATGGTTTTGTTTTTAAAATATCTTCTCTAAGGAAAATGTTGTGTGTGTGTGTGGGGGGGCATATACACCACACACACACACACACACACACACACACACACACACAATGGAATATTATTTAGGCATAAAAAAGAAGGAAATGTTGTCATTTGCAACAACACGGATAGCACCTGACAGCTTTATGCAAAGTGAAATAAGTCAGACAGAGAACGACAGATACCATATGATCTCACTTATATGTGGACTCTAAAACAAACAAATAAAAAAAAACAGCTCATAGATGTAGAACAGATTGGTGGTTACCAGAGGTGTGTGGGCGGGGAGTGGGTGAAATGGGTAAAGGGGGGGTCAAAAGTTACAAACTTGCAGTTTATAAATAAGTCATAAGAATATAACGTTCAACATGGTGACTATAGCTAATATATTGTATTGCATATTTGAAAGTTACTGAGAGAATAAATCTTAAAAGTTCTCATCACAAGAAAAACATTTATAACTGTATTGCTATGGATTTTAACTAGGCTTAGTGTGGTGGTCATTTTGCAACATACACAAATATCGAAACATTATGTTGTACAACTGAAATTAATATATGTTACTTAGATCTCAATAAAAATCCTTTAACGGCAAATTAATTTTAAATTTACTAAATGTAGGTTAAAATATTTTGAATCAATCTAATTTTCAGAAACCCCTCACTTAGGTTTAAAATACAAAAATCTTCATGGAACAATTTAAAAATTTCTGCGTTTCAGACAACTTCATCCAAAGTATGTTCTAAAGATTAGTGTTCTAAGATATTTCTTTTTTTTAATTAAAATTTATTAGGGTGACAAGGGTTAGTAAAAGTATATAGGTTTCAAGTGTACAGTTCGGTAATATACCATCTATATATCACATTATGTGTTCACCACCCAGAGTCAGTTCTCCTTCCATCACCATATATTTGACCCCATTTACCCTCATCTACCACCACCTTTCCGCCTTATCCTCTGGTAATCACCTCAAAAGTTTAAGAACAGAATTACCATATGACCCAGCAATCCCTCTCCTGGGTATATACCCAAAAATATCTGAAAACATTTATCCATAAAGATGTATGTGCTCCAATGTTCACTGCAGCTTTATTTACGGTGGCCAAGACATGGAAACAATAAAAGTGTCCTTCGATAGATGATTGGATAAAGGAGATGTAGTACATATATACAATGGAATATTACTCGGTGATAAAAACAGATGAAATAGAGCCATTTGTGACAAAATGAATAGGTCTTGAGATTATTATGCTAAGTAAAATAAATCACACAGAAAAAGTCAAGAACCATCTGATTTCACTGATATGTGGGATATAAAACTGAGAGCATCAAAGGAATAAGACAAAGAAACAAAAACTCATAGACACAGAGATATTTCTTAAAAAGAAGGTTCTGTGGTAAAATACATGTTTAAAATGCAATGATTTTTTTTTTCCAGTAGGATTTCTTTTTTTTTTTTTTTAAAGATTTTTATTGGGAAATTGGGGGGATGGGAACAGTGCTGGGGAATTGGGGAAAGGGGAACAGACAAGTTGCTGTCGTTTTGTTCTTCAGTCTAGTTGTGGAGGACGTTGCTTCACTGGCCCAAGTTGGCACCATCATTGCGCTCTTCTCTGGCGAGGCAGATCAGTCGCCGGCTTCTGGACGGCCGCTCACTGCGGCTGCTGGCCGCTCACGCTGGCTGCTGGCCACACACGGTAGCCCATGGCAATCCACTGCCACAGGGACTGCAGCCCACGCCGTCGCCGGCGACTCATGGCAGCCCAGCTCCAGGTTGAGCTGTTGTTCAGCATCTTAGCTGTGGAGGGCAGTGTCACTGGCCCTCATATGTGGGATCCGAACCGGGGCCCTCTGGCATCCCAAGCGAGTTCTTAACCATCGCGCCACTCGGCCGGCCCTCCAGTAGGATTTCTAACGATCTTTACCATGAGATTGTCCACTGAGGTTTAGAGGCCCTTTCTAATCCAATTTCATGTTTTGTGAGAAATTGACCTTCAATTATTCTTCATAAACCTTCTACTATAGGTAGAGTGACATTCACCACCTCCTCCCTCTCCTCTGTGGTACCTATCCTGAACTTCCCTATTTTGCTCATCCTCTCTGCTGATAATGCTCTCCCCTCATATCTCTGCTTTTCCAAATTCTAATCAACAATTGTAATTTTCCTACTCTACTTTTTGTAATACTTCATATATATGCTTAGATTTGTCACTCAGTGGTGAGTTCTTAGAGGAACAAGAATAACTTATTAATTTTGTATGGGGGTAGAGGGGAGAATTACAATTAATAATCACTTCGATGTTAAGGTTTTTCTTTGAAGGTGTCCTAGATTACTCTTATCTACTTATTAAAATCTTAATTCTGTACTTTGGTAGTTCTTATATTATTTCTTATATTATTATTTCGTTCTGGCAGTCTTATTGCCTAATGACTTGTCTCCACCTGGATTTTCAATTTCTTGAGGCCAAAGAATTTTTATGTCCCCACATCAGTTGGCATTTTCAATAGCTGGACGTGAATTACTATTGGAATAATTTGAATTTCAGGTAAGTAGTAGAAATGTCAGTGATCACAGAGAAACAGAAAAGGAACGTGCAGAACAAATTTATTGTTATGAAATGAGCATTTGTTTTAAGATAGACACCTTTTCTAATGACTAGGGAAGCTACGTTTGTAATTTGAAAATTATATTTTCAGTATACGTTTAACAATTTTGATTATGTTCAGTATACAAACATTTAAGAAAAAAAATGTATTGTTTTTCATTCCAATGGCTTCAGTATTGAGCACAAATATATAAAAAACACTTGGGTTGTACCAGGGGCTATTATATGACCCAGATGGACTCATATATAACCATCACTAATTTAAAAACTGGGATTTTTACCCATTTTTTTCATTTTTCAATAATTATTTAAATTATTGAATAGATTTTAGAAACTAAGTACTGTAGTAGACACTGAAATAAAAAGACAGACCAAAATATCTTATAGAGGACTTCACAAGCTAACCTGATATAGACCCTCTTATAAGAACTGCTACCGTTGCGGTATTTTAAATTTGCTATGGGAGCAACACCAAGTGAAAAGGACCAACAAACTGGAAAAACAGTTGGGGAGAGATTGATAGTGAATGTAGCATTTCAGCTGGCTGGATAATAAAAGGATGTATTTTGTCAGTAGTGGTTGCAGAGTTCATGCACTGCACAACAGGAGCAAATGGGGTGAAACACAGTCACACTTAGCCAAGCATCTAGTGATGTGTCTCCCTGGAGAAAAGCGTACCTTTTCTTCCATGTGGGCACTACCCCCTCTCCAATTTGAACACTTCAAAGCAGAATTTGCACAGGCTTGTGTTGCGTAGACAACAGTAACACTGTGGGCTTGTAGTACCATTTAGGAGTGTATATTTGAGAAAAAAGGGGATAGTATCAGTACAGTCATAGGGATCAGAAAGTAAAAAGTTGGGTATGGAGGGCTGAATGATTCAGTCTGGAGCAAAGAGTGAGGCTAGGGGAAGAGGGAGGAGACTGCAGCATAAAATTTAGTGAGATGAATCTAGATAGACGGGAACAGAGCATGACGTCTGAAATGCCACTTCCAAGAGATTAGAGTTTATTTTGCAGGCAAATTGCCAGGTATCAATGTACTAAAGTAGGAAATGACATGATCAGAATTTAATTTTAAAAGATAGTTGACAGAGCAGTATTCCATTGTGTATACATACCACATCTTCTTTACCCAATCATCTATGAAAGGACACTTTGGTTGTTTCCATGCCTTGACTACTGTGAATAAAGCTGCAATGAACATCAGAGCACATATATCTTTACGGATAAGTGTTTTCAGGTTTTAGAGTATACCTCACACTCAATGTGATATACTCGTATAGATGAAATTACAGAAGTGTACACTTGAAACCTATGTAATTTTACTGATCATTGTCTCCTCAACAAATTTTAATTAAAAAAAACACAAGATAGTTGAAGTTTGTAGGCTAGAGAACAGATGTGGTTGAAGAAAGGATGGAAAGTGGTGATGGAGGTCACAGCTGGAAAGGTGATGCTGAGAGTCTGAATTAGTATGAGTGATATTGTTATAAAGTACTATGTATTAGACATCTAGAATTCAATATTCACATGAAAATGACTTAAAAGTTTATACTACATCAAAACTTTACCTACCTAAAATGCTTCATGTGTTTAAGTAAATCCTTTTGATATTTTTCCTGCTCTAGTTTTTGCCGAACAATCAGATGTTTCTCTTTTAAGATAGCCTCATTATTCTTCAATCTCTCAAATGTAACTATCCCTCTGGTCAAAATAGTACGCTCATTACTTAACCTTTGAATTAATAAACGGTCTTTAGCCTTTTGGCTTTTTTCTTCTAAAAACAAAGCTCTCCTCTCTCTAACTTTTTCAAGGTAGCTGGATCTGTCCTGCCACAGTTGATGTAAACTATTCTGAATTGCCTCATTATCTTTTGCCATTCGTCTTCGTGCAGCATATTTTTTCTGATTTAAAGTTTCTTGAACAGTTAAACCAACTCTTTCTTGGGCAACTTGTGCCATGGTTATAGCCATTACTTTTTTTTCACGGCTTTCTTGCATCTTTTGTTCGGAGTGATATTTCTCAATATCACAAAGTGTTTGGAGTTTTATACCGGTTCTGTGTGTTGTTAAAAACTCTCTTCTTACAGTCTTCTCCAACGCCGTGTCTTTTTTTTCAAGTACTGGCTTTTGATGAGTGGTAGAAAATGGCTGGGCGTATGTAGGAAAAGAATCTTGTTCTTTGTCTTTCGATACTGCGGGATACCTCAATGAATCTGAAGTGCGTAGGGGCAGTTTGAACACTGATATCCTAAAACTGGCATCCAGTTCTTCATCCTCAATTTCATCTTCAGACTTCTGACCTACATCACACAGCAAATATAATACATTATATAAATGTTAAGCACAGTTTATTTTCTGTCCCATTTGTTTTGAAAGCTATGTTAATAAAGTTCACAAAAATCCATTATTTAATTATATTGAGATGCATCTTCCCCAACTGATGTTCCTTTTAAATGTGTTATTTAACAGTGATTTTTGGATAGAAAAATCAATATTGAAACATTTTAACAGAAATGCACTGATTCCTGTATTTCCAGCATTATATTCTCAATTATTCAACTTGCACTGACTCAATAGCAGTATCTTATCTTTTACTTAATTATACATATTATTTTTACATGTAGTTATTATATTGCGAATGTCTTTACAATCTGTTTTACCTGGCTTTTCTTAACTCTGGTGAAAACTAATAGCTGCCATCATTGTTTTTTCCTTTGTTGGGCACAGAAAGAAACCCAATTTCTCAGCCTTCTTTGCTATTATGTGTCGCCATGAAACTAAGTCCTCTCCAGTACTGCGTGGGCAGGTATGTGAGCTGATCTTTGACAAGGGTGCCAAGAATACACAACGGGGAAAGAAGAGTCTCTTCAACAAATGAAGACGGGAAAATTGTATCTCCACATGCAAAAGAATAAAATTGGAACCTTCCTTCACACCACACACACACACACACACACACACACACACACACACACACACACACACACTTAATCAAAGGCATACATTTAAAATCTGAAGCTGTAAAACTCAGGAAAAAAACAGGGGGGGAAGCTTCATGATTTTAGGCTTGACAACAATTTCATGGGTATGACAACAAAAGAACCAGCAACAAAAGCAAAAATGAACAAGTGAGATTACATCAAACTAAAAGCTTCTGCACAGCAAAGTAAACAATCAGCAGAGTAAAAGGGCAACCCACAGAATGGGAGAAAATGTTTGCAAACCACAAAAATCCGATAAGGGGTTTATCTCCAAAATATATAAGGAACTCCTACAAGTCAATGGTAAAAACCTAATATTCCAAAATGTTCAAATAATGGACTAAAGACTTGAATAAACATTTGTCAAAGAAGACATAAAAATGGCCAAGGGATATATGAAAAAATGTTCAATGTCACTAATCATCAGGGAAATGCAGTCAAAACCACAATGAGATATCACCTCACAGCTGTCAGGATGGCTATTTAAAAAAAAACAAAACAAATACCACATGTGTTTGTAAGGATGTGGAGAGACTGGAACCCTGGTGCACTGTTGGTGGAAATGCAAAATGGTGCAGCCATTATGGAAAACAGTATGGAGGTTCCTCAAAAATTAAAAATAGAACTACCATACAATCCAGCAACCCCATTTCTGGTACAGTAAAACCTTGGATTGTGAGTAACGTGGTTTGCGAGTGTTCTGCAAGACGAGCAAACATTTCTAATACATTATAATGTGGTAAACCAACGATGTCTGGCAATACGAGCAGTTTGTTTCCAGAATGAATTATGCTTGCAAACCAAGGTATTACTGTATTTATCAAAAAGAATTGAAATTATGATCTTGAAGAGATAGTAACACTCCTATGTTCACTGTAGCACTATTTGCAACAAATTTAAGTTGTTTCCAAAATAGTCAAATTTTGGAAACAACTTAAATTTCTATCAACAGATGAATGAATAATGAAAATATGGCATGTACATACAATGGAATATACTCAACCTTAGAAAAGGAGGAAATTCTGTAATATGTGACAACATAAATGAGTCTTCAGGACATTATGCTAATTGAAATAAGCCAATCACAGAAAGGCAGATACAGCATGATTCAATTTCTATGAGACATCTAAAATAGATATTTAGGATTTATAATTGCTACTTGTGGTCATATTAGAGTTCATTTTTCTCTTTTTCTCATTCCTAAATTATTAATTTCTATTTCATTTCAATTATAATTCATCCTGATATGTTAATGAGTCTTCTATTTTAATTTCTTTTTGGATAATGTATTTAATATGTCTAAGAGTGTCAGCATTTATCCAGTCTCAGATCTCAAAATCTCAATTTCAGTGTTTTAGTAATGTAATAGACACCAATTTCCCCCAATGGCAGCTACTTAAAATTACATATGGTCTCAATGAAGAACTTAATAGCTTTTAGCTTCCTAGAATCATTTTGACTTATCCATCTATTAATTCATCTGTGTATCCATCTTTCCATCCACCCATTCATATTTTAGTAGCTTGAAAATTCAACTGAAGTTCAGTAATTACAACCACGAAATTTCTTACTTAAACTCCCTCCAGTTCTTAATTTTTTTCCAAAATTTTAGTTTTCTTTTTAATTGTTTGCGATTTATTTGGTTTCTATAAAAATGGAAAAAATATTTCCTTTGGTAAGCACAGCAATCAAATAACAAATATACGTGAAGAGTACATATATATCACTGAACATTTGCTGTGTGTAAGATACTTTTGTAGATACGGGAGATGAGGAACTATGATAGACATGATCCCAGGTCTCAAGGAACTTCTAGTGGGAGAACAAATAAACTCATAAACAGGAAAATATCAAACAGGAATAAGTGCTCTGATAAAAATCAGTCAGGGTAAAATGATAGTGAGTCTAGCATTTATACTGAGTATACAAGAAAGATTTTTAACAGGAAGTTCAATTGATTCTGAAAGACAAAAAGGAATGCACAGTGGGAAAATTGGGGGGAAAGTATTTCAGGAGAAATGAGAAGCTACTGGAAGAGCACTAGGCAGGAGCACATTGGGCCTGTTAAGGATTCAGAGAGAGAGCCATTTAGGCTGGAACCCAGTGAACAAGGTGAAGGTGGTATGAGATGTGGTCAGAGAGGTAAAGCAGATTATATGTAGGCCACAGGGAAAAGACTCTGTATTTTATTAGGAGATTTAGGGCCATTTAAGTAGGGGAGTGATATATGATTTTACCACGAAGAAAATGGATTTGAATGTGGATCACAGAGTGTTAGGAGAGGAACTGAATGAAAGGCAATGATAGAGGCCCAGGCAATTTGGATGGCTGGTAGGGCTAGGGGGAAAGCATTCAAGCTGCACAGAGGAAGAAAGATTCGGGGTATTTTTTTAAAGGCAAAGCCCATAGGGATGCTGATAAATTAGAACACAGAGGAGGGGGGGGGGAAATAAGGAGGGGGCAAAAAAAAAAATAAGGGTGAACGCTAGCTAACTAGCATTTTGGCTTGAGGAACCAGATGGGTGGTGATGGCATTTGTCGAGACAGGAAATACTGGAGGAAATCCAGATTTCGTGAACTAGGTTAAATATTCTTATATGTATTACTGTTTCTGAAGTTCATAGCTTTCCTATTCAAAACACAAGCTAACACTTCGCCAATACATCATACTTAAATTCTTTATCTTTAAAAAATCATTTTAATATTTCATTAATATAATTTTATGAAAAAATTTATCCTAAAAGAAAATCATTTTAAACTAACTATTTTTTTCATTTACATGATTACTAATAATACTCAGGTAAAACTGGGAAAAATAATTACTTTGTATACTTTTTATGAATAAGACCAAATGATTTTTGAGGTACAACCATATGTCCACAAACTGCATTCCTCAACACAGAGTAACAATTTATTTTTTTCAAATACAGTTTACCCTATGAACAATAAATGTATGCTAAAAAGAAAGTATCCTTATATTTGTGCATCAGATGAAATTCTCTATTTAGAGCAAAACAACTGGACCCCATTATAATCAATTTATTTTCAATTGCTTCAACAGATAGTTTTAACTGTCACATGGAACTTTTAGAAATCACAGGAACACAGAAGCCAGTACCATTTGTGGTCAACAGAGCTTGTTTGATTCTAAATGTATTACAGATTTACGAGCCATCTGTGAAGAAACAAATGGTCTAAGACTATTTAAAATCAGTGCAGCTTTGATCTGAATGTTCGCAAATGGGTCTTAAGCAGTTGCTCTCTTCAGCAAAACTGCCTGACGTCTTAGCACAAGCAGATGGCCTTGTGTAGTAAACAGGCTTTGAGGCAGCTTTGAGTTCAGGTGAAGCAAAGAAGAATAAGAGGGAAAGGAAAAAGAAAGTAAATATAAACAAAAATTGTGACATCAAATTCTGTCATGCACTGAGTTTTTGCTGATTTGTTAGGCATTTAAATGTCATTGAAATTATGGTGACATAGTGGCTATTTTCTTCCTTTGGGATTTTCTTAGTAACAATACAAAAGGGTCTGAGATCTTCCCCAACCCAACCCACTACATACGATGCACACATAATGTGGTAGGTAATGGCCTAAGATGTGACCCAGGTCATCATAATAAAAGAGTTTTCAAAAAATTGTACATGTCACATGTAACAGAACTATATTGGGGACTGATAGCAATCAGATAGAAACTTACAGAGACGTTGAGAAAGTATTTCCCCACTTAATGCCATCAATACATTTCTGAAAATGAGACATTCAGCGTGAAAATGCTATCCTGGAGCATATTTCTCTACATTCTACATTGGAAAAAGTATAATGCATTCCATGCTAACCTCAAAATCCTATTAATTTCCAAAAATAAAAAGCAAAACAGGACAAACCTGAAAGCAGTAAAACATATTTATAAGTACTTTTCACGTTAATATTTAAAACACTTAAAACATTGTTGCTTAAACATCAACTAATGAGGCCGCTTACAAATAATTGTTTCAATTGCAATAATATGGCTCCTGGTAGTGACAGCAACATCTCAGGTAAACATCCCCATTGTTGACATCCAGCACGTTTTAAAAATGTCTATATATGATTTTTTTCAAGATCTTTATTGATATATATTTAAAATACCATAGAAATTAACCATTAAGCCCTTAAACTGTACAATGTGATGGATGGTTCAGAGGTGTGCAACTCTCACCACACAATCTGTTTACAACATTTGCATCACACCAAAAAGAAATGCTATGACCATTAGAGTTACTCTCCATCCCCCAAACTCTACCACCTCTCCAATCCTAGGCATCTGATAATCTACCTTC